AAGCAGTGGTATCAACGCAGAGTACTCTATGCCGGGCCATTCTGGACTCTCGGCCCGGGCGGGACCGGGAACCGCGGCTAGTATATATATAAAAGTCAAAGTTTGTGCAACTCTTGACCGTATGTTTTTTATAGACTCCTTCGCGCGTGAACCGATTGAGCTGGAATTTTGCATATATATGTTTTCGACCCCGTAGATGGTTTTAGGCTACTTTTTGAAGCGATTCGCTGGATCCTTCTATTGATTTATTGATTTCGGCACTTTGCAATGAAAGTGAAGTCTTATCAACTACTATCATACCCAATGCACATTTTGGTGTAAACAATGGCAGACAAGCTCATTCTCATTTTGCGGTCAGAAGGATGCGGTATTTCCAGATGATGCTGCTTTGAGGTAGGCATTTGCAATTACAACGCACCGTGCAGGTGGATATAGGCTGCGGGACCGGAGAAGGAAAGAGAAGAAGCAGAAATGCACCAGATGGAAGCGGGATGAACAGGGCTCGGCACAGCTGGCACCGGGTCAAGCTGGATATCGTTTTTTGGACGAAAGTAAAGGGGATATCGTTTTTTCGGGGTCCGGGGCGGAGAAGAGCCGCAAGAATGCCGCCGACATGCCACCGGCATGCTGTCCATCAAACAAACAAAGGGTTTGTTTTCAGCCAAAATGCATATGACACCAAATTTGATGTGTGCATGTGCGTTGGGGGACCCGAAGTATGGCCCAAAAATTTATGAAAACTATGTGAATAAAAGCTGTGCTAAATTTTTTTCTGAATTAGCTGGCACAGTGCCAGCTGGGTGCCAGCTGAGCTGGCACCGACACTTTGCTCACATAAGTTTCATACTTTTTCACATGAAATGTATCTACACCGTGAAAGTTTACATACAGAAAAGAAACAGTTTCATAATGTTATCTTTTCAGCGTTTTATAGCCTTTGAAAACTACTCGGTCTGCTCCGCAATGGAAAAGTCGGCTTTTTCTGCTTCTCGAAATGTAATTCAACCACTTGAAAAGCTCAAAAAGCTGTGAAAAGTTGTTTCATGTAATTAGCATGCATAAAAACCCTACTACGTACTTTTACATAATTTAAAATCAATGACGGGTCTTCAAAATAGGTCAAGGGGGACTTCGTACGAGTTCAAGATCAAACGGGACTGGACTTCGTTTTGAAATTTCCCTGGTGCCAGCTCGTGCCGAGCCCTGGGTATGAAAGATGGAAAGGCGTAGGTTTTGAAGCAGAACATATTTTTTGCGCTCCCCCTCCTTCCTCTGGCTCCGTGGCTCATGAACCGGGCAAGACCGGGTATGTCAACTAGTATACAATACAGTGCGAGTTGGACGAAGCGAACATAATATCTGCAGCGAGCCATACAAGCGCTCACGGAGAGATTTCGACGAAATATGCGATCTTTACATTTTTGGCAAAATTCACGAGGACGTGTTTTCGTAGGCTCGTAACTCGGCGAATTTCACAGACTGGAGCCTGAGTAATGCACCTTTCGATAGTACAATTTTTAGTAACTTTGACTGAGAAAAGCAAGCAGGCAAGGTTCCTGACAGATACGCGAGAAGTGCGGCCAAATTTACGGACTTTCGTGATGCAGTTACAGTCACCTCACCGTATCTCTCCAAAAAGACCCTGTAATCCTCAACGACCACGATTTTCGTAAAGAGCGTGTTCGAAAACCTCTATAAGCGAAGTTTCCTTACAATTCAAGAGCATCAACATTTTGACCAAAATCCATCGGCGAGCTTCCGGAGCGTAAAACGAGAAAAAATGGAATAACCCGAACATATCGAAAAACTTGCTCGTAGAGGTTATGCAACCTGCTGATTTCGAAACTCGCATCTGCTTAGCAAGATAGCTTCGTATCCTGCGGATATGGCGAGTAGAATTTGGGACGACAAAATTTTTCCACAATACACCAGCCGTTCTATTTCCTTTGAAAAGAAACCTGCGGCTACTATTTAGCACATCATAATCTGCAGAAAAAGTGCTATCGAAAAATCCTTGCTGGAATGTACTCGGGTCAATGCTCGCTGCTTTACACCTTCGCGAAAAGACGTCCTCAGAAAGATTCAAGAATACTGAAATCGAAATATCAAGGACATGCTGTATATGACAAGATTTGCCTTGATGAGCTGAGCAAGGCGCTGTTTTCGGATTCAAAATATACTTATTCCAAAGGAAGCTATGGCCAGTAGAATTTAAAGACGCGTGATTTTTTAAAAATTCACCAACGCTTCTATCTCCTTTGGAAAGAAGTCTGAGCAATTTTTTAGCGCACAATAATCTACAAGAACAATAATATCGAATAGTACTTAGTAAAGTCTTTTATCTTGGGTAGGCGTTGCTTCACATACTCGCGAAAGGACCTCCGCAGAACAAACTGAAAAAACTGGAAACGGAATATCGAAGACATCGTACCCCCATCTCCAGTATATCAGAAGATTCTCCGCGCCGAGATGAATCGAATGGTGGCTTTGGATTCAGAATTCGTCCACTCTGAAGCGAGATATGGCCACGCGACGCTGATGTATGGACCTGATGTATGGACATGTCCATACATGTCCATACATGTCCATACATTCGCGTCTTTTTTTCAAAAAATGTGAGCGGTATTGTATAGTGTGTCCATGCGCGAGCAAGTTAGGGATTCCCAGGACCTCTCTGAAGGGAGATACGATTTTTTCGTTTTTTGTAGATCTTGAGTGCCTTATGAAATTCGGCTCCAAACTTCACGCAAATCAAACCTGGCGCAAAGATTCGAGATCCATTTTGTAGAGCTTGCTCTGATCTATCGGCTGATGCCTCACTTACTTACTTTCGCATGCATCCTGCTGCATTGCACGATAAAACACGATGCGACATTATTTTCCGGACAACCTATGTTAGAATTCGTCTGTCACGACATTTATCGAGCAAGTTGCAGCGAACACTTATGCCAGATTTTTGCATAACATACAAATATCTCAAATGCGACGAATCACAAAGCAGT